AGCTGTAATGCCATGGCACTCTACCCAGGGGGATAGCTTGAGGCTCCGTCTCAAAAAACAAAACAAAACAAAACAAAATCTACTTTCCACTGAAAATCATGATAGTATTCTGTTTTATGTTTTTACCTTTTTTAAAAATTTTTTATTTTATTAAGTCAAATATACATAGATCGTGAATACACCCATGCATATGTGGGGTACGATGTGCTGATTGTTTTTACCTTAGTAGGACAATAGGTACACAGACCTTTTATGAAATTTTTTTTGTTGCTGTTCTTTGTTTTTGTTTTTTAGAGACAGAGTCTCACTTTAGCACCCTCAGTAGAGTGCTGTGATATCACAGCTCACAGCAACCTTCAACTCCTGGGCTTAGACGATTTTCTTGCCTCAGCCTCCCGAGTAGCTGGGACTACAGGTGCCCGCCACAGCGCCCAGCTATTTTTTTGTTGCAGTTTGGGCAGGGCTGGGTTTGAACCTGCCACCCTCAGTATATGGGGCCGGTGCCCTACTCACTGAGCCACAGACACTGCTCGAAACTTTTTTTGTTTTTTGAGACAGAGTCTTGCTCTATCCCCAGACTAGAGTGCAATGGCACCATCGTAGCTCACTATAATCTCAAACTCCTGGGCTCAAGTGATTCTCCTGCCATAGCCTCGCAAGTACCTGTGACTACTGGTGTGTGCCTCCACACCCAGCTAATTTTCCCATATTTAGTGGAGACAGGGTCTCGCTCTTGCTTAGGCTAGGCTGGAACTCCTGGCCTCATGCTTGAGGCCTCCTGCCTTGGCCTCCCAGAGTGCTGGGATTACCAGAGTGAGCCATGGCACCAGGCCTATGATACATTTTTAAAGCACCTCTTTAGGTATTCAGTCAGCAAATCTGAATAAGTATACAAGTCTTCAGAGTGACTATTTGAAAGAGTTAAGATTCATGTTAATACATAAAATTCTAGTGTATTTGTTGTTAAGTTCCTATTATTATAATTACATTATCTGAAATCAAACTCACTGGATTTTATTGTCCAGACCTGGAAAGAAATTCATGCAAAAAATATTTCCTAAGCATCTACCATGTGCCAGATTCTGTGTAAAACAATCTTCCTCAAGCAGTCCTCCTCCCTCAGCCTCCCAAAGTGCTAGGATTACAGGTGTGAGCCTCCATGCCTGGACCAAGTCCCAGGTTTTTACTTGAACATCTGGATAGATGGTGAAACTATTTACTGCCTCAGAGGTTATTTGAGAAGAAGCAGTTTTAAGGTTGGGAGAGGTGGAATCACAGCTTCTCCAGACTGTATTAAGTGTGAAGTATTATACTTTGGGAGATGCAACTGCCCGGGGCACTTGAGCACCAGCACTGCTTTCTCCCTTGGGTGAGGCTGTGTCTGAGTTTTGTTTATGAACCAGGGAAACCTGATGTGTCGAATACTTCCTTAAAAAGGTACACGTAGCACAGATTTGAATAAATAATCCATTGCTGGAATGTGATGATAAAAATCATATGGGTAGTTAAGTATGTTATCTAATTTTTCTGATACTTTTGTAGTGTTGCTGCTTTTATAATGCATGTATATAAGAGGCAGTAGGTAGTAAAGATCCTCACCAATGGAAATGGGAGGAAAGGGAGCTTGACATGTGTATAAATCTTCCAAGTGTGAGGGAATAAGAGGAGTTAGAGTCAAACACTTCTTGTGGCAGCCACCAGGGGGCTCCATCAGCCCAGAGCAGGTGGATGGACACCTCACAACTTGGCACCAACCCTGGACATAACATGCAGAGAACTGTTGACATCTCAGGATACGTACAAGTTGTGTTTGTAATTCTCTCACTGAGTCTGCCCATGCTGATGAATTCAGATTACCCCCATTAAAAACAAATTATCTGCCTCTTGTTTGAAGTGAAATTAAATATAGACAGATCTCTATCTGGTAGTTTGTTTCCGGAGGAATTCTATTTCCTATAACTGATAGACTAATAAATATTTACAGACTGAAAGTCTGAAAGATGATAGTGGATTCTGTGGATTCTGTGGATTCTGTTCAATCCCACTTGGGATTATTCAATCTTTTCTTTTTTTGTAGTTTTATGCAAAAAAAGACTTTACCAAAGACTGGATGGAGAATTCAGAAATAGAATGAATTGAGAGGTACTTGCTTAGCGAGTTAATAGTCAGTCCTTCATTTTTTCATTCAATGAAGTTGTTTGAAAGTGACTCAGAAGAGGAGTTGAGGGCACAGGGCTGTTTTCCTGCTCCCTTCATGGACCCTCTGTGTGACCGAGGGAAAGTACCACACCCCAGTGGCAAACGTTACTGGGTGTGTAACCAGAGCAGGTGTGAGGATCCATGTGTGGTTCTGGGAGCTCTGCCAATACATGAATCTTATCAAGAAATGGGACTGGCCCTAGCCGTGTTTTATTTATGAGCTTGCATGCTTGAGAAAGAAAACAGCTTTATCGGTCATTCTTATCAATGGTTGTATTAAGTTCTAATTCCATACATCTCACAGAGGGTTCACTTAATCTTTTTTTTAACTTTAAAATGAGATTTATTGAGTCTTGTTTTTAAAAATATCTTATTCTGCCTAAAACTATACATGCTATTTATATTATGGTAATGCTATAAATGTGATAGCACCTATAGCAAGAACTCTGTTCTTAGGTGAAAAAAGGGACTTTGGGCACCCAAATTCTGTATTAGAGTACAATACTATATTCTTAAGCAAGTGTCTGCCAACTTTGTCTTTTAATTGCCAAATAGTATCTTTGGCTTTTTTGGCCAGTATTTTAGGCTTTGTGAGTCATATACAATCTGCTGTACCTACTGACCTCTTATAGTACGAAAGCAGCCACAGATACTTTGTGAGCAAGTGAGCGTTGCTGTGTGCTGATAAAACTTTATTTATTGATTCAGAAATTTGAATTCCATATATTTTTTATGTGTCACAAAATTGTATTTTTTTTTCCTTTTTTTTTTTTTGAGACAGAGCCTCAAGCTTTCGCCCTGGGTAAAGTGCCGTGGAATCACAGCTCACAGCAACCTCCAACTCCTGGGCTCAAGCGAGTCTCCTGCCTCCGCCTCCCAAGTAGCTGGGACTACAGGCACCCGCCACAATGCCTGGTTATTTTTTGGTTGCAGCCATCATTATTGTTTGGCAGGCCCAGGCTGGATTTGAACCTGCTGTTGCCTTAGCTGCTTGAGCCACAGGTGCCGAGCCAAAATTGTATTTTTCTTTTGATATTTGTTTTTCCATCCATTTAAAAATGTTGAAACAGCCCGTGTGGTGGCTCATGCCTATAATCCTAGCACTCTGGGAGGCCGAGGTGGGTGGATTGCTGGGGTCAGGAGTTTGAGACCAGTCTAAGCAAGAGGGAGACCCCCCATTTCTAAAAAATAGCTGGGTGTTGTGGCAGCTGCCTATAGTCCCAGCTACTTGGGAGGCTGAGACAAGAGGATCACTTGAACCTAGGAGTTTGAGGTTGCTGTGAGTTATGATGCCAGGATATTCCACCGAGGGCAACATGATGAGACTCTGGTCTCAAAAAAAAAAAGAAAAAATATAGAAACCACTCTTAGCTTGAAAGCCATGCAAGGAGAGGTGGCAGCCAGATTTTTCCATTGGGCTGCAGTTGGGTGACCCTGTCCTGAATGGACCCATAAGTGGCCGTTCTACAGGACCTCTTAGAAGTGTGAGGCTTAGACAGTAGTCACAAGGTGTTATAAATCCATGTTGCCTCTCTAGATCTGCTTATTGGCAGAGAGGAAGAGGAGGTCTAGTTTAGAAACTGGGATGAAGGCAAGCTAGGGAAGAGAAGGGAGGAGAGAGAGGGAACCGATAAATGCTAGGGCACTCTTCGGCTTCTTTCCTTGTGTTTTCTGCAGTTCCAATCTAAGTGAAATGGTTAGCAAAGCGGCAGAGTAACACAGAACAATTCAAGTGATCATTCCCTACCCTTGACGGCTTGAACAAGCCTTTCCAGTTTGAGCTGTGATGGGGTGTGTGACTAAGAGCAAAATTCTAAGCTTTCTAAAGCAGGGGCAGGATCTGAGGCTGGTTCCTCCTTGGCAGGTCTCAGGAGTATGTGGTTTTCTGCTCTTTATGTTGGCGGTGCGGCCATCCTGATTTCAAATATTGGTTAGTCCCCTCATATCCTAAGACATTGGTTCTAACATTCTAATGTTTGAGAGTTCAAATGAAATCTCCCAGATAGCCTCCCCTCTTGCTGGTATAATACATCCCTGTGTTTGAATTAGAAAGTATCCTCATCCCTCCGGTGCTGCCTCAGCCTCCAGGACCCCTCTGCTGCCTCCCCGTCAGACGTGCATCACGGGGCCTCTGCCACCCTCCCAACTCCCTCACCTCTTCCCACAACTGCCACACAGCTTTCTTGCCTGCCACGTGCCCCCACGGTGAAATCTCTCCTGCTTATTGCTTTCAGCCCTGGTTATCATCTCAGTCTGTTGGCATGCCCTGCAGGGGCCCTTGCCTCCTACTCCCAGTCGCCCAGGCAGCCCTCTCCTGCCGCACCCAGTGCCCAGCCAGCTAGCTGTCTTCCCTGGCCTTAGCCCTTTAACCCTCTCCATCTTCCTAACCCCCCAGCTTCTCTGCTGTGCAGCTCCCACCTTTTCCTTAATTTGTCTGATCCTCCTCCACGCGTTTCTCTTCTGTCCCATCTGCTAGAAATAAACCACAGCATCTGGTGGCGAGGCGGTGTTATCAGATTCTCATTTAGCAATTTGTATTTTTCCATTCTTGTACACGTTTCAGTGGAATATCAAGTATCCACAGTTTAGGGACCTATTGAACAAGCTGATAACGTTTGTATGTTTTAACCGTCTTTAGCATGGAATTAGTTAAGTCTTCCTTTTGTTTTCCACACATTTCCAGATTTTCCACCTTCGACCAGAACTGATTTGCCAAGGCAAGAGTTAGCCCAAGAAGAGTCTCTCCTCCGTGGCCAGTCTTCACAGGCTGTCACTACCCTACCACCTCGTCTGATTGGTTATTCAAAGGCCGCTGATAACTCACAGGGAGATTTTTCTCAGACATTTGGATCCTCAGATCACTTGGGGAAACTATCCAAGGCTGACCAGGCAAGTACCCAGGTCCGTGTTTATAAAGAGGAAGCCCATTCTCCGAGGTCACAGCTTTCCTCAGAAAAAGAAGTAGTTTTTCTGCTGCTTGAAAATGTGACTACATTCCCAACCACAGCAGCTGTTGTTTCTCGACGTACCATCTCTGCCCCTCCAAAGCCCGCAGTTCTTGTACTTACCAATGCTTCGGCGATACCTTCTGGGACTTCTCAGCCACAGCTGGCCACCACAGCTCCACCTGTTACCACTGTCCCCACCCAGCCTCCCACGGCTCTTATGTCTACAATATTTACACCTCCAGCAATGGCTACAACAACACTTCCAACTACCATATTTCAGGCACCTTCAGACTTGCAAGTCACCCCTGAAACTGGACCCTTCAGAGGAATCTCTGACCAAACTTTGAGCATAGAGGATGTGCATAACCCTGCTACACTTCCTTTCTCAAATGTTGAGTCTTCCACCGCGAACAAAACTGCTTCCCAGGACAACGGGAAGCCCAGTCCAGGCAGGTCCTCACTCAGTAGCATGCCCAAAGACCAATATGGCCTTCCATTTGAAAAGTGGCTTCTCATTGGGACCCTGGTCTTTGGTGTTCTGTTTCTGGTGATAGGTCTTGTCCTCTTGGGTAGAATGCTGGCAGAATCCCTCCGTAGGAAACGTTACTCAAGACTGGACTATTTGATCAACGGGATCTATGTGGACCTCTAAAGATGAAACTAAATGTCTCTCAATTCATTTAATAACTAGAAGCCCGGGTGCAGTGAGTTTCTGTTCACTTATGGATCTTCGCAGGAGTTTGCACTTTGAAGACAAATATGTCTCCTTCTACTTTCTTTTTTTTTTCCCCTTCTACTTTCTTTGTGTTTGTTTTCTGAGGACAAGGTAAAGGAACCAAATTAGGTAATTTAGATGATCTGTCTCTAAAATATTAGCTGAAAACAAAGCTCTACCTAAAGCAATAAAGTGTAATTGCCATATAAATCTGAAATTTGACTGGCTTTATGCAAAGAAAAAAGCCTAGGACATCTAGGTTCCAATTCATTAATATTTTGGGTTCCATATAAAATCAACTGTTTATGATATTAGTTCTAATGGATTCACATAAAAAGTGTGAATTCCAATGAAATCTATTCCAGATGTATTTTCTTCCAATTAAAGACTTGAATAAATCTTTTGTTATTTGGTAATGGTCTTAAAGGTGGCCCATCCAACTGGATAACTTTTTATTTATTTCCACCAGCAAAATTATTAAATGATGGAAATATGTGTTGCAAGTTAAAAGACAGACATCCTTCCCCCACTCCGTTTTCCCATCAGCAAGTAAACAGTTTCCTCTGGAAGAATTCTAGCAGAATATTAGTTTACATGGAGATGGTGGTAAGTCAGTTCTAATAAGTGGCCAAATCCACTTTGGGTATGTTCTAGTTAAATTTTATTTTTTAAACATTATAGACATTTTCTAAACTTATATTAAGTTAAAACTTATTAATAGTCCTTATAAATCCTTATCTAAACTTGTTAGCCAGGCCTAGTCATGCATGCTGGTAGTACCAGCTACTTGGGAGGCTGAGGCAGGAGGATGGCTTGAGCCAAGAGTTTGAGGTTGCCTTGAGCTAGACTGATGCCATGGCACTCTGGCCTGGGCAACAGATTGGGACCCTGTCTCAAAACACAAACTTGAACAGCAGTTAGTTTTAGCTTTATTTGGAACAACATTGGAAATGACATACAGCATGTAGATTAGTGTGCTATAATTTTTTTGTTGGTTAGTT